CTGAAGCCTGCCCATGTGCATCCTTTCTGCCTATCTTGCCTCTTGAGGTTCTCTTTAGGGTATATTCTCACAGCCTCTCTTCACCTCTTCATTTCTCCCTGTCTCCTGTCAGGTCGGTGGCGGTGACTTAGGAACAAAGCACCAAGCACCCCAAGAGCGAAAGAAACATCAATCAGGCACTGACAGAACCGCCTGTTAGTCAGCAGGGTCTCCTGGTCAATCCTGGATCTCAGCCAGTTCCCCTGACCAACTCCATTGAGACAAGGGACTCTAAAAATCCCTTTTCCTGTCCCAAGCCCTTCCCTTCCTGCCGTAAGCCCCATAAAATTCCAGTCCGGTTGAGCCCCCATGCGGTTTCTCCTCAGACCCTCTTCCTATCTGCTCTGTTGGTCTGTTAGAGTTCCACCTAGGAGTGACATCTCAATAAAGCCTCCTTCATCCTCAATAAAGCCTCCTTCATGGGCTTTTTAAAATCTGCCTCCTTTTGGTTGCCACCGTTGTCTTACCTTACATCTCCTTCTGCCTTCTTGAAAACAGTGCCCAACTTCATGAAGACATGACATGACCTGCTCCCCTTAGCTGAATATGCATTCTTTTCCAGGCTTTTAAAAAGTACTTAGAACCTCACTTCCTCCAGGGAGCCTTTCTAGATGAAACCCATAGAGTTGAATTTCTTGCATACTCATACAACCCGGGGATAGACTTCCTATTTTCTTTACCCTCAACCCAATTACATACTTAGGGTATCACACAACCCCAATTTATACCCTTGATTTACATACAATATAAATTCCTCATTGTCCATTAACGTGCTGAGTTAAAAGCCAAACTCTCTGTCCAAGTCTCTTGTAACTCTATCATAAGACAACACAAGTATGTTCTTTGACCCCAAGCCCTTAAAGTATAGTGATGGGTTTGGGTTCCAAAAGCACTGTATATAGAGTCTGCACTATAGCATGGCCATATGGTAATACAATTCCTCATTTACATGTTGGGCTCCTATTAAGCGCTGTACTGCCAGAGATCTGCATACACCCTAGCATATAGTAAAGGCTCACAAGACTCTGAATGGAGTGCTATTTTCTGGTTTGGTTCTAGAGCACATAAGGGCTTAAAATTCTTTTAACTGAAGTGACAATGGAAAGGAGGAGAAAAAAACCCAGGAGCATAGATTCAAAATAATAATTGGGTGCTATATAAAGAGCTTCACATACACTCTTTAATTTAGTCCTTATAACAATATCATGAAGGAAGAAGATCATTATTTTTAGACATAAGATAAGTGAGGTACAGCAACACAAAATAACTTGCTCAAAAATAAACAATAATCAAGTTTGAATTTGAAACCCTGAAGGAATCTGTGTTTTTAACCCTTATTACACTTATTTTCTTGTCCAAGTGGTTTTGGAACTACTACCTTATTTTCGTGAAATTAGGTCCTGACTACCACAGAGTACAAGGCTTTCCCCAAGATGGCCCAACTGTCCTCTTCCAGATGCACCTCCTAGTATCCTCTTCACACTCTATTCTCCAACAAAAATAACTAGACATGTTCTTTTTTTTTTTTTCTTTTTTTTTTATTGATTGTTCAAAACATTACAGAGCTCAAGACATATCATCTTTCATACATTCGACTCAATTGGGTACTAGACATGTTCTTTAAAATGTTTTTTCTCCCTTTGCCTTCTCTATTTTTCTCATCTTGAATACTGTCCTACTCTGTCCTGCCTATCTAAATCCTATTTGTTGTTTAGGACTAATTGATTTTCGATATTTTCTGTGGAGAGTTGTCTATTTCCAAGCTATAATTATGTGTTCCTTCTTGGTGAATGCAAAACTCTTGGTTTTGCTTGGTGATACAAACTGCTTTGTGGTTAAATATTAACTTGCCCACCTCTTACATTCAAATGTAAATTCCTTCAGGGCAAATGTTCTATCTTATCTGTCCTGGTATATTCAAACCTTTACATATCTCTTGGTAAACAGGTACACAGGCTTTTGTAAATGGATGGGAGAGAAGTGAGAGGGAGAAGAGTGAGAGAAAATATGCATGTGTTGGGGGGGGAGCAGAAAGAGGTTAGGGAGAGGAGGGGTGGAAAGACAGAAGCAAAGAGAGATATTACTTAATATGGTGGCTCATGTAAAGTCCCTAGTGCTTAATTAACTCAAACCTGCTCCCACTTTGAAATTAAAATGCATCCAAAGTTCTATACATGCTTTGAAAACACTCTTTGTATTCAATATCTACTCAATATCTATCTATACCTAGGAGAAATCACAGTAACTAATGTAATAGTATTTTATCATTGTAAACATTTATGAGCTGCAATATTAGGCAATCATACCAAGTGCTTACACAAGTGCATTATATTTATTCTGGACATCATTTAGAGCATCCTGAACATACTGACTCATATACAAAACAACTCTCAAAAGCCCTTCCATTAGAAGCACAATATTTGAAAGATGCAAATAATTTCATAATCTTTTCCCTTAGTACTGGGGACACACGGACACACAGAAAAGAAGAAAAGTCTTCCAAATTACCTAATAAATTTTCTCTTCACATTCCTGCCAAATGACCCCCCACCCCACACTAGTGCAGGTCTGCAGGGTAGGCTCTGTGCCCCTTTAGTGAGAGTACGATTTTAGATGTGAGGTAATCCCATTATACTCATTGCAATTTCAGACCTATGTCCTGAACCTCCTGCCGACAGAAGGCTACCTCATCTCCTTCCTAATTAAGAGCACAAAATTCTTCTCAAACCACCTTCATTATCACACATAGTGTGCTTAGCTCTATCAGGTAATACCCTCACATTCTGGAAGAAACAACTGCCTCTTTTAAATCCTAGGTAACCACCCCAGAGTTAATTATCTCAATTAAAACCTTTTTCCTACTCTCAGCAGATGAAGCCCATTCCACTAGAACAACAATGGGGCCAGGAGAAAAAGAAACCTTAGTTACAAGGAAAGGTAATTAAAGAGATCATGTTCCTCTTACAGACACACATGCACCAATTATGCAAAAACAGGACAAAAATCTTGTCCAGCCAAAAGAATTATTATTACAATATATGCTTACTTTACAACAGATTGAAACAGTGAAACAACTAAAAAGCCATGTGATTTGTTTCCCTTTGACCTTAACCTCTGAAAGAACAGGGAATGTGCAGAATTCTTTTGTAGCAAAACCTCCTGCTAGAAACCAATCTCCTCAGATAACCAGCCCGGTGACTGGGCAAGTCTTTCTTCTCTAAACTGAATTTAAAACAAGGAGGAAATCAGAATGAGAAAACTCCTAAGGCTGTTTCTGCATTAACAGTTACTGAGAGTCACAGTCACCTTTACCTGTTCTACTCCAAGCAGCAAGTGCACTTTAAATGCCCTCCAGCATTTTGGAACACCCAAGGCATGGAAATATCCAAATGAAATTTTAGCAGAGAAAAATGTATTACTAGCATGTTTCTAATCAGTGAGGCCCTACACTGAGATTCCATTCATCTCTTTTTTTTAAAAGAGAGAAATAATTTTTTTAATATTATTTTTGTTTTTTTAGTTTTCAGCGGACACAACATCTTTGTTTGTATGTGGTGCTGAGGATCAAACCTGGGCCAGGCAAGCTCGCTATTGCTTGAGCCACAACCCCAGCCCAGCCATTCATCTCTTCTATTTCACTGCCTCAGTGCAGATGGTGGCTAGCCTTGCTATAGACCAAATGTTTGTGTCCTCCTAAAATTCATATGTTGAAATCTAATCTCCTATGCAATGGTCTTAGGAGGTGGAACACTTGACAGGTGATAAGATCCTCCCAGTGGAGCTCTCATGAATGGTTTTATGCCCTTATAATAAGAGGGTTGCAGTGGGAAGAGAGCTGCCTGCAAACAAGACACAAGACAGATACTGAATCCACTGGCACCTTGACTCTGGTCTTGCCAGCCCATAGAATTATGAGAAGTATGTATGAACAACCAAATTACCAAAGCAATATAAGATAGAGGAATTTCATATACCCCACCTTCCTTGCCTTTTTTTCTTTTTCTTTCTTTCTTTCCTTTTCCTTTTTTTTTTTTTTTTTGTCAGTGGTTCTCAAAATAGGGACCCAGATCAGCAACAGCACCTGGAAACTTCTTAAGAAATGCAAATCCTTATTCCCCATTCCATACCAAATGAATCCCAAAGAAATGCTGTGGGTGGAGCTCAGCTGTCTATGTTTAACAAGACTTCCAGCTGATTTGATGCACACTAAAGTTTGGCAATACCACAAAAGTCTCTTGAGGTGACCCCTGACCTCTATTCTTGCTCATCTTTAATACATTCTGCACAGTACCATCACATAACTTTTTCTAAAATCTGAATATGATCTTACCTCATGTGACACTGGTATTCCATTCTTCCTCAAATAAAGTTCAAAGCACTTAGATGGTAAGTTAAGCCTTTCACCATCTGGCTTCAGCTGACCTTTCTAAAGTCATTTCTTGCTCCTTCCTCCTATAGATACTCTGCCGGGGCCATGATGAACCTTATGCTGCTACACAGAAAACCAAAACTCTTTGCGGATTCTGTGTCTTCCTCAAACTGTTTCCTCTGCTCAGAATGACCCCCCTCTCCTTCCAAACTCCTTATCCTATCAGACTTGTCCTGAGTATTAGCTCTTTGAGAATTCTTCCTATCCCACTTCTTTTGCACCTCCTTCATGCCTCCAAATCCCATGGAATGTATGGTTCCTCCATTATTGCACAACTTGGATGAACACATTCGACAACACACTACATAACTACTTATTTCTCTCCCTCCCTTACTAGCCTGAGCTTTCCAGTGTTAGGAAGAGCACTTGAATGAATTATGTCTGTGCTATTTTGAGAATATACTAGGCATACATGGGAATTCTAGTTACTATTTCTTTGAGTGAATAAATAAATGCATTGACTTTTGAGCACCTATTATCTACAGCATTTCTATGCTAGTGACTTGCTTCTGTTATGCCTGTTTTACAGATGAAAAGAAAAACAAAACTGAGCCTCTGAAAATGTAAGTACCTTTTGTAGGTAGTAAAAGGCAAAGCTGATTCAAAGGAAGAAATTTCAGACTCTAACCCTGATGCTTCCTCAATCTAATCATAGTCTTTTCTCAGACAAAATAAAGATTGAGTTTCTAAATATAGCCATATCTTCTTTGACATATCTTCACATTTTTTTACATATAGTTTCCATTATATAAAATAAAATAAAACACTAGGTTATGATTGAGATTATAACTTTATAACTTTATAAAGTTATAAAGCTAAATATTGAATATATAGCTAAATAGTTCTGTGCTTCAATTTTATCTGCAAAAAGACTTGGCTTTATATTACCTAAAATAATCAGTTATTCTTATTTTTTGTCATTAGCATAATTATTTCCAGTCATAGTAATTCTTATTAACTGGGCTCATTGTGTTTGATTATGTTGTTGCAAAAGCCTACTTCAGTTGTGGGCACATTGATAATGCTCTTTAAAATCTATTCAACTGTTTGCTATAGTAATGGTGTCAATTCCTATTAAAAATGGTTTAACTAAATAAGAGTATGACATTGACCACAAAGTCATTCTTGTCAATAAATATTTAAATCTTGTTTAGATTTGCCAATCAAAATTCCTAAATAAGACAAGTGGATACTGGATTTTTCCATTTATAACTAGACACATACATGCATTCTACTTTCCTGATTTTATCCTTGGTTGCTGGAACTAAAACCATCACATCAGTTATTATCACTGTCAAAGTTGTTTTACTTTAGATCTTAAATTAATAAATGCTAAGGAAGAGTTTAATTAGCTGAAACCTAAACTGTCGTAATTAATTTACTAGTTACATTACAATACCTTGTAAAACATTTATGTTTCAGTAAATGGAGTACCCACTTTCCAATGATCACATGGCATAGCTAATTTACTACACAACTAAATATTTAATTACTGATCAGTACAGTTAAAGGTAGTCAGTGGAAATTAAATTGCACTACTTACAACAAAATGCTTACTCATTACTTCAGATGTTATAAAATCATATCAAAGAAATAATGGAAGTTCAAGCATTTATAGATATTTCTGGAACATTCAGAGAAGAGTTGTAACAGCTGAATGGAACTATGGCAAATTAATCAGTATATCTTATGGAAAGGTCAAATGGGAAAAGTCCAAAAGTTTTTACATTAAGACTCATTTTCAGATGGGTAGAGTTTCTGTTTGGAATTCTGAAAACTCTAGAAACAGTTGTGCTGATTGTATAATATTGCAAATGTACTGAATGCCACTTTATATATACTTTTTGTCATAATAATAAAAGGCTATATTCAGGTTTGATAGCTAAATTGTTCTTTTCTCACTTCAGACAACGTGACCATGTTCTGCCTGGCATTTGTGTACTGTAGTAGATGAGGTACAACGTAAATTCCCAACCAAACTGCTTTATCTTTTCAATGTCTGGGATGGTCTATTTCATAAATATTTGCTATTTACTCAACTGAAAATGGAAATGCATAGAATCCCACAACATCTCGTGTTCATAGGCTGTACTGTGATTGCTTATTTGCTGTCTTCCTCATTTACTATTGAAAGTATTCCTTGAGTTCTGAATAGATCACAGTCAGCAACACCCCTCAGCTTCATAGCATTGTAGATACTCTTGGTTAGATGTAAGATGCCCATTAAATAATTAAATTTATGGATTTTTTGAGATTATTTCATCAAATTACTTGAAATTTATGTCCAGTTTCTATAAAAATTATTTTTCAGAAAGATAGGATATTTTGTAAATAAATGATAAATTATATCAATTATAAATTGGCTTGATGTGGGAAAAAGAAGCAATCCACACTAAAGAATACAGAATTTTAGTTAAAATGCAAAAAGTAAGCTATTTTCTGCTATTTTTTTCAATGTTTTCACATCCATTGAATGGTATCTAAAAGCAAAGAAGCACACAAAAATATCTATCACCAAGTGACAGATAGTAATGATGGAGATCAATTCCTTTCCCAAAGCAGAGCTGGTATTTAGAGAGACAGAAATTCATTATAATAATTAGAGGCCTTTGCTCGACCTCCTCAGAGATGTTCTCATGCATAGATATCAAAGCAGATATTCTTGGTTAGATGATTTTCAAGATAATGACTCAACAACCAAATGTCAGTAATCCTAGCATCTCTGGGGAGATCAACTGCTTAAATAAGAGTCCCCTTCCACAAATACTGCTCAATGAAACTGAGGGTTGCTATATCAGGGCAAAGGTTTGCTTGCCAGCCATGCTGATGCTGTGGGGCACATGATTATGAACTTGTTTTAAGTAATCCTAACAAAAGTCAGAATGAGAGTCAGAGTGTGAGACAGAAGAGCTAGCTAATTCAGAAGTTCTACAGAACTTTACCAGGAAATCTCTTTCTTAAAAATGGTCTAATTATATTAATTTCCAAGTATTTAGATAATTCCCATTATGTCACAAATAGATACTCTTCAATCTCCATAAAAACCCTATAAGACAGGTACTGTTAGTCTTATTTTAAAATGAGAAAATTGAAAGATACAAAGTTTAAGTAATTTGTTCACAGTCCAACAGCTGGTCAGTGGTGGCTGGAGTATGAATCCAGGAAGTCTGGATCCAGAAACCATGTTCTTAAATACCCCGTTCATTTACCTCAATATATATTAACAGAAATATTAAAAATAAGAAGTTTTTAAGAAAATATTATTCGTCGATAGACCTTTATTTTATTTACATATGGTGCTGAGAATCAAACCCAGTGCCTCACAACATGCTAGGCAAGTGCTCTACCACTTAGCCACAACCCCAGCCCCTAGATGGTTCTTTAATTTAAGACCTTTTTCCCTAGAAGGACCCTAGAGATGTCCCCATGTGTTACCTAAGAACATAGTCAAATGAAATCTATTTTATTCTAATGTTGGAAAATGGAGCTCTGTGAATTCACCATATACTAGGTAGTTTGTAATCAGGCATGATCCTACAGCTTAAGAATGCAAAAAAAAAAAAAAAAAAAAGATTCAGCAAAAAACAACACAGGGTGTCTGGGGCAAGGCAGAGGAAATAAGTGGGAATGACTGGCATGTTATTTATACTGCTAAAACAGTGCAAAGCTTGCTAAGAGTTTGTTTTAACTATGTATTTTTTCCCACTCTATACCTATACTTCTAATTTTTGCATCCATTATAAATCCCAGTACAGTATCATTAGTAGTAACATGCAAGTAAGACTTTGTTCAATATCAAGGGACTATGTAACATACTTGGAACTCTTTTCTCAATCTAACATACTTGGAACTCATTATCTGATGAATGTTAATTGATTTAAAAACCACAGATAATTCATTTACTTGAATTTTATTTTTCTGGGGTCAACCTGGAACCACGGAAAAAAATATGCCTTTGAAATTGTTCAGGACAATCAGGTGAATTGTATGAAACTGAGAATATGGAAAGCATAAATTAATCTGAAATGTATTTAAATTTGTTTTCTAAAAGGCATAGATAGTGTAGTTCATGCCTACCAACAAGTACTCCTGATCACCTACATTTTATCTTGCTTTTCTTAAACACTCATTGGTGAAATGACTGATACTAAAAGAAATTCTTATTTGTGTACCACACAAACCATTTTCATAAAGCTCTTGTAAATCCTAGAGATATGCAAAGAATAAAAACTCAACTTTAATAATGGACTATATTTGAATTAAACATGATATTCAAAATGTTACACTTGGAGAGTTAACAGGATGTTATGTGGTGAGAGAGCAAGAGGAAAATGTCCTATAATATCTGTGCCCTTTATAAATTAAATCTGAGGGCATTAAAAATGGTTATAACAATGAAATGGATTACTTATCAAATGAAAACAGAAAGAGAAAGAGATTAGTGAAGATATTTGCCTCTAAAAATCTCAAAACTGTGCAACTTAGAGCAGAGGTAATAAAGATGATTATTTCTAAGAAATAGATCCAAAGTAGCTCCATTCAATTCACAGCAGGAACATCCAAAGTAGCAATTAATGCAGCCACTGGTGTGGAATTGTTTTCTAAATGCCATCCTGTTGTATGTTCCTCTTCTTCTCCTTTTTAATAGACTCATGGTGAAATCATATCAATTATTTACTAAAGTTTCAGCATTGATTATCAATATAACCATCTAAAAATATGTATATGAAATAAAAATGAAAGAAACCTAGTAGCCATTGCTTATCAAAGACTATAAAGGGTCACCGAGCAAGGTGGCACACACCTATAATGCTAGGAGCTTGGGAGGCTGAGGCAGGAGAATTGCAAGTTCAAAGCTAGTCACAGCAAAAGCAAGGTGCTCAACAGCTCAGTGAGAACCTGTCTCTAAATAAAATACAAAATAGGGCTGGGGATGTGGTTCAGTGGTCAAGTGCCCGTGAATTCAATCCCTTGTACCATCCCTGCTCTACGCCCCCCCCCCAAAAAAAAGACTACAAGGGTAGTGCTTGAAACTCCCTGAGATTTGGACATGGGAAGGTAGGTCTTGTATTTCAGTGGCACATTGAGCCAGTAAGGCTGCTGGACTGGATTGGGGAATATATGAGTTCTCATCCCCTAAACTTGGCCATAAATATTGGGAGATACTGGCCAAGAGAAAGATCCCAAACCTCATTCCCTCATTCTCAAACTCAACTTAGCCATTTAGAAGACATAGGGAGAAAAAAAAATAGCACCATAGTAAACAATGTGGGCACAGGCCTAGATTGCCAGGGTCTTCATGCTAGCTTTTGGGCCCGCAAAGTATTTGTCTCTGGGCACATTAAGTGACCTTTCTATTCCACACTGTAAACTGAATATAACTAGTACTTAGCACATATGACATTGTGAGGACTGACTGAAAGATGGAAAACTAGATGTAAAATCTTAGAATAGCAAGTAGTCCATAGTAAGGATTTTACAAGTGTTCATGGTCATCTATTAAAAGAACATATTTTTCTAGTTCTGAAATTCAATGTAACACACTTGGAACTCTTTTCTCTTTATTCCAAGACTTGAAACAAAACTACAAATGTGATGGGATGCATTTGCTCAGCTGGGAGATGAGCACCTTGACTCATTCAGCATGCATCAATTTCCTTCAAATGAGTGATGTGCCTTGACGGACATTCTCACCAAACAGAGAATCAGTCTCAAAAATTGGTTGGTGAGTTTTGAGAAAAAGAAGATGTGGGAAAGGGAGAGGTGGGGGTGGGATTTTTATAAGGATGATAGAGAAAATTATGTGAAAAGAAATAAAGACTCAGAACTCCCTCAGAGTCAGTGCACTAACAATTTTCACTTGTTAAGGAAAGATGTTTTCCTCGGTCGTTTTTTCCCTTCTAACCAATAGCTGAGATATAATTACACACCTCTTCATTCCATAAAACCAGGATGGGAGAGCAAGTCCATTAGGAAACCCAAGGGAGTGGTACCATGCAAGAGGCATCATTAAGGAAGAAGTTACCAAAAGCTACTTTGCATCCTTTGTAGAACTAGGTTGAGTATTGAAATGGAAGGAAGAAAGGAAGAAAGGAAATATTAGCTGAATAAAAAATCCATATAAGAATGGCTGTCACCATACATGAGAGCACTAGTAATTGAGAATAAGCATCTGTATGATCTGGGTCACCTGACCAGTAAGATGCTGAGTGAGATTTGTACCGGGGTCTGAAATCTTACCCTACCATATTGTTCTTAAGTGCGCCAACAAGAGGATCCATAAAATGGGTGGAAGAGATGAACAATAAAGATGATAAAGAACCTAATGAGACGGGATAGGAAAGGCAGCAATACACAACAGACACTAGTATGGCGATATGTATAAACGTGGATGTGTAACCAATGTGAATTTGCAATCAGTATATGTGGTAAAAATGGGAGTTCATAACCCACTTGAATCAAATGTATGAAATATGTTATGTCAAGAGCTTTGTAATGTTTTGAACAACTAATAATAATAAAAAAGAACCTAATGAGGAACTTAGAAAACAAAAATGTCAGTCTTAGGCCACCATAGAAAGAGCAAGAAAAATATTTCTCTTTCTTATTCTCCTTGTACTTCCCAAGCAGCAATCCCTCAATGCCCCTAATCATGACATAACTTTTTCCTCTCCCCAGCCAATCAGTTTTATCCTTGTCACACTTGGGAATCATCAAAATTCCTCTTTTCCAATAACAGCTCTATGCTGCAAAAATGGGAAAGAACTCAAAAAACCAGATCTCCTACAACTGACAACACTCACGTTGTCATACCTTGCTGCAAATCCTAATAAAAAGTTTGAAGGCCTCATCATACTAGAAACTTTCTCCCATAATTTAAAGGAACTGTAAAGTTGAAGTTACAGCAAACCAACTAATTCTGTTCATAAATCAGAGTGACAGAGAGGAACAAGTAAGGATGGAAGGGGAGAACAGTAATTACACTGTGAGGTGGGTTTTGTTGTTGTTGTTTCAAGTAAGTTTGCTGGGTATATGGTTCATATTCACTTCTCTTGACCTGTGCCTTAGACAACACAATAAAAAGACAAACTGATCTCACGAAGCTATTCAATAGTTCTTCCATTCCCGTATTCTCTACTTCTTCTGTTTTGTTTTGTTTTGTTGTTTTCAGTGCTGGAGATTAAATTGTTAGGCAAGCGCTCTAACACCAGCAACATAGCCTGCCCCCTGCAATTTATGTTTTCTTCTTCCTTTTAAAAAAATACCTTGTCGTTTTTAATAATCTCTTCTAGCTCCTTCAGAAGATTAGGTGATGTTGAACCTGCAAAGGTTTTTGTTCTTGTTATTGTTTTTGTGTGTGTGGGTTTTAAGAACTTTCATACTTTGAATTAAAATCAACACCATTGAACGATTTACCTACTGCTCCCTAGTGATGATACCCTGTCTCTGGGCACCAGAAAACCATTCCTCATCAGGCACAGTGGTGCATCCCTCTAATCTCAGCAGTTTGGGAAGCTGAGGCAGGAGGATCACAAGTTCAAAGCCAGCAATGTAGCAAATCCCTAACAACTTGTCTTAAAACATAAATAATTATAAATAAGTAGGGTTAGGGATGTGGCTCAGTGGTTCAATCCCTGGTACAAAAAAAGAAAGAAAGGAAGGAAGGAAGGAAGGGAGGGAGGGAGGGAGGGAGGAAGAGAGGAAGGGGATAGAAAAGAAAGCCACTTCTCATTTGACATCATCTTATGTCTGTGTATGTGGCCTCTGTGGTGAGAGGTGGCATCTAAGTTAGCTGTGTTATCATAACAAAGTATCATTAATTAGGTGGTTTAAACAAGATAAATTAATTTATCATGATCCTGGAAGCAGGAAAGTCCAAGATCAAGTTTTCAAAAGGGTTATTTTTTTTTCTCTAGTGAGCGCTCCCTTCATAGGGAATAGACTTTTCTCTGTGTTCTTTAAGCCAGAACAAGACTAAGAAAGAGGGAAAAAAAGAAGAAGAAAGAGGGAGAGAAGGAGAGAGAGAACACACGTATACTTTCTCTTCTTATAAGGCAAGGGATCCTGTAGCTTGGGACCCCACCATATGATCTCATTTAACTTAATTACATCCTCAAAGCCCTATCTTCCCATAGTCACATTAGTAAGTAGGGCTTCAACTTCTGAGTTTTGATTGAGATAAAATTTAGTTTACGGCGAGTGGGGTGGGGATTCTCTAAATAACTAGAATTTCATGTAGAAAGAGTTCAAGCAATGACATTTAATCTTCAAATATAATCCTGGAAGCTTGTGCCATGTGGGGCAAAGCAGCTGTACAATTTGTTCGACTTGTCATTCATTGTTGGTGTTTGAAGAGGACTCCGGTACTCTACTGATTACTCTTTGTTCCATGTCAGTGTTCGTGGAATAGAAAGTGAGAAAGGAAAGAGAACTGAAGTCACAAACACAACACTATAAAATGTGTCCCTCTTCCTTCAAGGAAAAAATGGAAGAAAAGAAAGAAGAATCCCTGAATGTCTCTCGTCTTGCTCCCACTTTGAAGGTGGGTAGACTCTCCATCACAGTCTCCTTACTAATGGTCAAGAAAGTCCCACCCTTTTGTATATAATCATTTAACATTAATTTTCGTAGTTTTTCTAGTATGAGCCATTGTGCTAGGAGTACAGAGACAAATGGATACAAAATCTTTTCTTTTAATTCGGATGTGCAATCTTATAGCACATCCGAATTAATGAATGTTAGAAGAAATGTGGCTACAGATAAAGAATCAAGCCCAGAAAGTAACTTTTAGCCAAGAGGATGTAAAGGGTGGGAACAGAGCCAGTTAATGCCCAGTCTACTGACCCCTAATTCAGTCTTACTTCCTCTAATTAATATGGCTCAGAGTTCCAGCCTGTCCAATCACTCACCCAAGGTTCATTAAGGGCCTAGTAGGTGCTAGGTGTCCTGAATAAATGGAATAGAATGATTTAGTAATTTAACTAAATATTTAATAATTTATTTGAGGAGATATGAGTACCGCAAATGAAACTCTTATCAAATACAATAAGGCATTGTTTAAAGTGAGAGGGTTTCTCTTATAACACATATGTATGTGTGTATATGTATGTATGTGTGTATATATATATGTGTATATATGTATATATGTGAGTATATATGTACATAAATACATATATATACACATAATGTATACACACACATACACACACACACACACACACACACATAATGCATGTACAAGATAAACTGATTACCAAATTTATCTCTATAGCCAGGCATGGTGGCCTAGGCCTGTAATCCCAGAGGCTCAGGAGGCTGAGACAGGAGAATCACAAGTTCAAAGCCAGCCTCAGCAAGGTGAGGTGCTAAGCAGCTCAGTGAGACTCTATCTCTAAATAAAATACAAAATAGGGCTGGGGATGTTGCTCAGTGGTCGAGTGCCCCCTGAGTTCAATCCCCAGTACCAACAACAACAACAAAAAAAAATTACCTCTACAGTGATCATCATGGTTAAACTAATCTTGCTAGAACACAGACTTGTTCTTTTCATCTTTATCACTCAGTACACTATCACTAAAAAATACCTGTTTGAGGGAAACCATTTTAAAGTCATACTAACCCATAGTGGTCCATCATCCTATATGGAACACTTATAAAAATTTATAAAACACATAAAATTGCTCAATTTAAGGTTTTATTTATTTATTTATTTTGGAGTGGTACTGACAGAACCTGGTGGTGCTCCACCCCTAAGCTACATTCCTAGCCTTTTTTTTGGAGACAGAGTCTTGCTAAATTGCCCCAGCTGGCCTCAAACTTGCCATCCTCTTACTCTCAGCAGAAGTAGCTAGGATTACAGGCCTGTACCACTATACCTGGCTTCAATTTAAGTTTTTCTAGGTGTCCCACATGTGGGATAATGGAACATCATAGGTTGACGGGGGTTGGGGAGAACAATAATGAAAACATCTGCAATTGAAGTACAATAAACTGGACTAAACTAAGCCTACCTGGATACCTGTTTTCTGAAGATCCTTAGTGAAAAATCAGGTCATGTTTAGGGAATACATGAAAAGCCTGCTCAACCCCAAAAAGGCATAAAGGAGAACTCAAGGTTTGAAAGGTAAGGCTTAGAGACTCCAGGTTCAGTAATATCTGAATGCTAACTGTCATTTATGCTCTGGGTCGCCCTTCAACCTCTTATACCTCAGTTTCTTCATCTATGAAATGGCACTAATCAGAGGATTAACTCAGAAGGATTCAGTGAAATGATACATTTAAAGTGCATATCAAACGTTATTTCCACAATTGGTAACAGTTAAGCACGGCTTTTGTGACCTCTCTTGCTTGCCAGCCTACTCCCCCACTTTTTCCTTTGAGCCATTTCTCTGATCCTGTCCTTTCCTCTGTTTTCTCTTTCTGACCTGAAAATAGCTGTGCCCTGTTCTTTGCCAGGGTGGGTAGCAACACTGGGGCCTCAGCACAGGTGCTATCATCCTCCATTCTGCTGCTTGCTTTGCCCTCCAGGTGACAGGAGAGAACTGCAGGGCTGCATTCAGCATGGACAACACTTGTCCTCTTTGTCACCACAGCTAGGCTCACACTGGCGCTGAGTCATGCTGCTGCTCACAACGGAGGAGTTTTCAAAGACTCACAAGACTCTAAGAAGTGGACTTGAGAGGACAGTCTGTCCATTGCTCTCTCTAGGTCAGACTACTCTTCAGTCTACCATGAAGCAAAAATAGATAGAGGGAGATTCTGTCACTGACCAAGGATTGGCGAATCTTCAACATCAGGACATTTCTTGTAATGCCTAAGCAAAATTTCAGATTTGCATCTTAACTCATTTTTTAAATTTACTTTTCATAGTGAAAAATAACCTTGATTCTAACTGTAAACATACATTATATATATATCACATGTGTGTTAAACTATATATGTATACACACAATCATATAATATAGAGTGTATGCACAAAGTATTGTTTACTAATAAAGTACTTGAGTTCTAGAGCCATATTCATGATGTTAAATCCCAGCCACCTATTGGTGATGTGTTTTCTCTCTAAAAACTAGTAGTAATGATCTCATGAGAAATGATCTTCATATTAGAGTTCTCATCTCAGAACAAGTTCAATGATATTAACCATTGTTCTGGTTTAGACATGTAAACATACATTGAGAGTAGGGGAGGCTTTTTAAATTTTATTTTCTGCAACTTAAATGGCTATAGTATGATTATGGAATCAATATAAAAGTTGTTGTGGGGACTGACAGAAGACTCATACTGGCTTTTCAGTGGCCAGGGGAAGTTTCTTAGTGACTGTGATGTCATATAAGATTGGAACAGAATAAAAGAGGAATAGGGCTAGGCTGTTGTCAGCTAATTAGCTGAAATGGTTAAGCAAAATTTTAGAAGCTAGAGAAAGCATTCATCATATAAAGATGTGAATGTAGTTCAGAATGCTGGATTTAGAGTGCTCATGGAAGAGGGGCAAGGTATGATAGTAAATAGGAAATGATGGACTTTGTAAAGCAGACTAAGATTTCATTCTGAAAACATTGGAGACCTACTGAAGCATAGATGTTGCTTCCATCTGACAGATGAGAAAACTGAGGCCAGGAAGCCAAATGACTGTCTTCAAGCTGGATAGCAAAGAGCAGGACTAATTTAATCCCTTCCTGTATATCCTTGCCCTAAGCCCAATGTTCTTTATATTATGCTAGGATTATCAAGGGCATAGTTCTCTTTCCTTCACCATCGTGCCAGAAAGTATATCACTAGGGTCTTTATTTGAGTTTATGTTGAATTAATGTATTAGATTTAGATAGGGAGAAAGACAGATCTAATATAGGTTCTTGAAAAAATTCTTCAAGGTATATTACAGCCCAATGTGAGGATGTGGGCTCGGTTACATCACTTGTAGGTTATATGAATGCCAAGCTCATACACAGCTATCTATTAAATAATGAATATTGATACTAGCCTTTTCTAAATGCATGATGCATATGCTTTTCAGAGTAAACACTTAAAAGACAAAGAAATAAATATAAAAAATCAAACAAAAACAAAGGAAGGAAATCATAGATTACTGATGAGGAAGTGAAGGTTCACAACGTCAAGTACTTTAGTACTCTTACATATTATTATGACACCAGAAATTGTATTTTTCAATTTATCTTAAAGTTTCTTCAGCTGGCCTTTTAGAGTAACACAATCTGGAGACTGACTAAATTAAGCCATTTAAAATGAAATGTGACAACAGGCAGAAAGGTAGAACACAAATTTCTGAATTAATTACACAAGATCAAAATTGAAAAAAAGAGGGGGGGATAATTACATGAATGGAGGTGTTCTATTATAGCCAAACAGTCTTGTTTTTTTTTATCATTTTAAAAAATGATTTTCTTCATAGAATTTGTTGGTATGAACGAACTGTCTTTTTAATGAAGAATAACAAAGAGTCTTTTGCTTTCCCTTTTTAGAAAAATGGAAACATGAATCACCTAACATCTTTGACTCATGCTAAAAAGAAAGCACTCTACAAACTGTCACACTTTCAGGACCTTTTTGATGAAAGACATCTGTAGATTCTATAGGAATAAGCAAAGAGTGTAAATGCCAATGTTTAGGTTGTAAGACTATGACAATTACAAGCTATTCTTAAGGAATAACAGGCTACAAACAATATCTTGCTACACTTTTTTTTCCACCTAGAGAGTACCAAGAATGTGAAATCTTCAGCAACAGTAAAGACAAGTGTCTGTTCAAGATAGCTTGGGGACAGTCTAATCTGAAATAAGGGGGTTGAGTTACACAATAAGAAACTTTGATTCTGTAAACCTCATGACTTTGGAGTTCTAGTATACAAAAGAAGGGCAAGACAAAAAGAATGGTTACCCTTATTCAGACAAGGCCATGTAGGGATCCGGGAGAATTATAAGTGGATGGAAGAGAGTAAGAGTCTCAGGGAGACAGTTTTGTAACAGCTTGGACCGACTTGGGTTCAAACCCCAGCACTAATAATTACTAGTAGTTCTTTGTCCTTGACCCAGCTATTCTCCTCTCTAGGATGCAGGAAAAATAACTTATATCTAATATGATTTCAATAAAGATTAAATTAAATCTTACGTATAATGTGTGTTAACAGTCGCTTTGTTAATGTTATTGTCAGATTATCATGATGGTCATTACACAATGTGATTGCATTCAACTGCATTAGCTGATCCAACCAGAAATAGGACATACTATGTGTTTAGGATGACATGCAGGCTTGCACATTCCCAATTAGCTTTTCAATTAACCCCAGCCTGAAGAAAACACTTCCCAGACCATATCTGAAAGTGAAAATAGAAACAAAGGGCTCTGATGGGTGCAGGTTGTTTTATTTGAGTTGGAGGGGGAAAAAAGCCAAATTTACATAGGATACTAAAAATCACAACCAGTTTCCATGAAATATTTATGTCCTCAAATGCTAAAACATGCTTTGAGTATATCAATAGTTATTTACAACTTATTAGTCATTCTTCAAATAAAACTCAATAATAATCATATGCATCTTTTTCCACCCTGACCATATATCTATAGCATTACTTCATGCCCCCCACCATGTTTGAAACTATGTAATCTCTGATACCACAGAAATACTTTATATGAATTAATTCAGCTTGCAGCATTGTTTGGTAACAACCTTACCAAAATATATTACTGAATTTTTAGATAAAATATGAATTCACAATTATTGGTTTAAATAAGCCATGTGACAAAATTAGATATATAAAAAACAAAACTATATCCATTTACCAAGCAATTGACTGAGTGCTTACATTTTTCAAGGTAACACATCTTTTAATTTATTCTAGTAACTCTCTGAATACAAAAAAAAAGGATTCTATTTTCATGTTGGTTATCAGCACCTAGTGTTCAAAATTAATCCTTCTTCCAGCCTTCTTGGCTAGCACTGGGCAGTAGAGTTAATATTTTTTCCTCCAGGCTTTATCAGAGAGCTAAACTTTGGCTCTCTAAAGTTAATTTCCTGATGTGACTGTATCTTACTCTATGGGTAAGATAAATAAAGACTTTAAAACCCTTAACCTCACATGTGGTTTCTTCATGTCTGTTCTAATTGTTAGCCATTGTTGCAATGAAGGGGATGTCCTAGAGCCCCTCGCTACCTCCTTCCAGACTCAAGAAGCAGAAACCAGTGTCACTGCACTGGATTAGCATCCTTTAAACTCTGAACAGAGTTCCATAGTGCTGCTATGTTCTACGTTGAGGCCCAAGCCTGAATTAAGTGGCACTGGGAGCTTCAACTTTTCTTTGCATATGAATTTGGTATAAGACATTATCTCCCCATGGCTTTCAGAGCCATTTGCAGTCCTGACAGTTCTCTTATCCACACAACCTATAATTTTTTATAGGAAGAAGCACTTTTTCAAAACATTAGCTCTAATAAAAGACCTACTTGCAAGACTCTTTCTTTAAAAATTACTGAGGGAGAAAAAAAAAAACACACACCCAAAACTGAATTGTTCAATATATATGGTACTGGAACATGATAGGTTTACAATCATTTTACTGTGAATTATAGGATTGGGAAAGGGACAAATTCTACCCCAACAATCCCCTTCCTCTCCTCTACCAAAATTGCAAATAAATAACAAGTCAGTTATGATTCTATGATCTCAAATCTGTAATTCTAAAAGTCTCCAGTCCTGAAGTCAGAACTCTAGTGATATTTTCTTTTTTCATACTACAGATGATGTATCTTGGTTTATCACAAAATTCTTATTTTATCAACATTCCCACACTGAAGGAATGAACAGTAAGTTAAAATCAAGGCATTCTTGTAGCTGAAAGGAAGGACTATGCCACAGACTCAAAGAGCTAACTCTGGGTCAAGGCTAAGAGTGAGTGTGTATATGTACACACACACACACACACACACACACACACACACACACACATAGCAGGAAGGAGATAGAGCTAAAGATCACATCCTCAGGACAATATGCAAAATCTCTGCTACACAAGATTTTTTTTTTTTTACCTTTGTAAGTTTCCCCAGAACCTATCAAATTGGATACTGATTTCCTAAATATGACAATTTGACCAGTGCCTTGGAAAACATGGGAAAAAATAAATCTATATGCCATCAACTCATTTTAATAGAGAAATATAACTCATGAGGTAAGTCTACAAAGAAATTCTCTGAAAAAAAAAACTAGTCATGCTGAATAAAAGAAAGGCAAAGGTTTTCTCTAAATGGCTATGATTATCTGATTATAAACCTAATACTTGCTCATGGCTAACACTTTTAAATGATGATTTTGTTGATTTGAAAAAATATCAAACACTCTAGTGAGGTCTGGTCAATGTTACTGAAACTCTCAAAAATGTGTTCCTAGGACACGGGCTAGAACACATGTACTGAAGAAAGGCTCAGGTATTTATAAAGCTCCCTTCAGAACTAAAGATCACAGCAATAAAAATAATGCAGTACAGCAACAAGTTTACTCAAGAGCTCCCTGAATAAGCAAAAATTGCAGCTGCTCAATTTCTTTCATCCTATGTAATCTAAAGGAATATTAAGTCTCTGTTGAGACACTATCAAATTCATGATTTCACCAAATATTTTGAGTAATCAATGATCCTGCTTAACCCTAAATGCTCCCTTCCCTAGCAAGCTAGGCTCTAAGAGTTATCCCTTCTTTAAGTACCATGGACCACATTCACAGTGAGAGGCAGGTTCTCATCCCAGGCTAAGGAAGACTGCGTCTGTACTCAGACCAATAGTCCAGAGCAGGCACTTGGCAAATCGGAAAGGCAGTCTTCATCCCCACTCATTCCATACCTTCTCTGATTTTGCCTTCCTGGCGTTGTGCACGAACCTGCGACCCAGCTTCTTGGCATACCAGATAGAGGCAAACATAGTGATGCCAATGGAAGGGATTCACAATGAAGCTGCTGCACAATCAACTTCCCACCTCGGCTCAGAGGCAAGCGGAATCCGGAAT